TTGGATGATGATTGTTTATTTAAATAAGCTTCAATCTGCGCTTTTTGGCTCGTTGTCAAATTCACTCGACCTTCTAGGAATGATTGCAAATCATTATTGGAGAAGAATATTCCTTCTTTATCGGTAGTGCGAGTAAAATCTTTGGAATCAGATAATACTATATTCGAATCATTATCTTGCAATTGTGTATCTTTATTTGCATAGTCAGAATATACATTGTTATCAAGCGTGTATATTCTGCTTGGTGATTTTGTGCTCGTTGAATTTTTCGAAGAGTCACTTCGAGTAGTTGATAATTGTTTATTTAAATAAGCTTGTATCTTTGCTTTTTGACTCTTTGACAAGTTTGCTCGGCTTTCAAGGATAGATCGTAAATCATCATCAGAGAATGGTATTCTTTCTTGGTCTATTGTTCCGTTAAAATCTGTCAAATCGACTAATGGCATCCTTGAATCATAATCTTGTAACTGGTTATTTTCGCTTTGGTAGTCAGGATATAAGTTGACATGAGTTGTATATTTCCTTGATGGTAGTTGTGTGCTCGTTAAATATTTCGAAGAGATACTTCGATTTGTTGATGATTGTCTTCTTAAATAGGTCTCAATCAGTGTTTTTTGACTCTCTGAGAAATTAGTTCGACCGTCTAAGAAAGATCGCAAGTTATCGTCCGAGAAAAGTATTTCTTCCGTGTGCGTTGTACGATTAAAATGTTTTGAATAAGACGGTGTCTTCTTCGATTCATAATCTTGAGATTGAGTAATTTGATTTAGTGATAGGTTTTCTCCTTCGTCAATTGTAGGTCGTAAATCATCGTTCGATATGACTGATTCAGATGTACTGGTGGGAAGTGTTTGCGGATTAGATGATGTTTCGACAATTGATGGAATTCCAGATTCCGATGTTGTTTCTAATGATCGATTTTCTCGTTCTTGAGAATCGAATGAAGTGTTTTCAATAAATTGATAATTCTCATCAGTATTACTTGATTGTGTTTCATCTGATAAAAAAGGAATATATGGTACAGTTGAGGAATCGCCTGTAAATAATTTTTTTTCATTAGTTGCTGAGATTTCTTGATCAATAGAATTGGCTTTTTGTTCGTAATAAGGCATTGTTGTCGTGAATCGAGCAAAAGGTTTCCTTGATGTAGAAAAAAATTGTATATATATTTTTGTTGTATTTGTTGTCGATAACAACGAATATGATATTGGCCAAAGTATCGGCACACTGGTATTATCAGTTATAGTATAATTGAAATCCAAATTTTCTTCCCAATTGACAACTATAGATAATAAGGGAAGGATAGTGATAGTAAAAGCACGGTATTTGTGATTCACAATAACAAAAGCAAAGCAGATAAATACAATTTGTTTTTCCTACCAGGATGTCGAGTAGAGGGATAAACTTTTTCTGGTTCTAAAAAAAGAAAAATTCATTTATTTTGAAGAAAAAAATACAAAATCTTATCGAATTACCAGTAAAATAAAGAAAATTAAACATCCAATAAGATGGTATATTTTTTGCATTCTTTTTCAACGTCGCATAAACATAAGTAGTTGCATTAAGTCGTTCAAGTATTATAGGTAAGTCTGATGCTTTAGAAAATACACTTCGTATTGTTGAATATGTTCGAACAAACATGATTAATATCATGGAACGTGTAGTAATGTATCTATTAAAAAAGAAACAGTCAAATGTTGGAGGGTAAGGGCATTATGTCCAGTTTAGGTCTACTAATTTTCTAATGTTTGAGCTGCCGAATATAACCATATACGAACGTTACCACGAAGTCTCAAATTATGAGTGCTTCTGCCTCCTACAAGATTGATCATTATCATACAGGTTCTTCGTGTTGTATGGTAAGAAGAATGACGCTTCTTTTGAGTTGAAGTCACAAACAACTAAGCTCACTCATAGAGTGATCATTATAGCATGATTTGATCTACATTTTGACGCCGAAATATAAGCGAAATGGTCTTTTTTGAGTCCCTAATATCACAGAAAAAAAATAACATATTTTGGATGATCACTAACTACTGTCCCTTTCAAAATAAATAGCACCTCACTATTTTTCGAATAACTTTTGATAGAAACAAGATAGAGAGCTGCGGTTTTCATCATTCGAAAGAGCAATGTTCGGGCCATCGATTAGTATAAAACTCATTAAGACGAAACTTCCTTTTTTTTTATAGGTGCTTTTGGATCAACATTTTTTCCTTTAAATATTTTGATCAATTTTGATAATAATCTCAACTCAAATTATGTCAAAATGTAGCTCAAATCATTCTTTTTTCGCCATAAAATGATCACATATTTTAGTATCTCTCAACCTCCTATTCTAAACGGTTTTTGAAAAACAAATGCTAATTTTATACCGAAAAAAAGGATCATTTGAGCTACATCTTGACATAATTTGAGTTGAGATTATTATCAAAATTGATCAAAATATTTAAAGGAAAAAATGTTGATCCAAAAGCACCTATAAAAAAAAGCAAGTTTTGTCTTAATGAGTTTTATACCGATCGACGGCCCGGACATTGCTCTTTCGAATGATGAAAACTGCAGCTCTCTATCTTGTTTCTATCAAAAGTTATTCGAAAAAATAGTGAGGTGCCTTTTATTTTGAAACGAACAACAGTGTCTAGTCGAAAAAAATAAGTCAATCAAAATCTCATGCAGACAATTGATAAGAAGTTCTAATCTTATAATACAATAGTAGAGCACAAAAATGCAGATCACTACGCGTTAACAATAGCCTTATAATTGTCTTCATTTTTTAGCTGAATTCTGATAGGAACCTACAACAAACTTTTTGACGAAAATAAACATTGTTCGAAGAATTTTAAACACATATAAATCAACTCTGTTGTTGATGTTCATTCTAAATATGTTATTTCTTTTGACTAAAAGAGTAGCGAGTCTGAGTAATACCAGCAAATATTACCGAAAAACTGACAACTTTTACTTTTCAGAACAAAAGAGCCTCAACATCAGGTATATGGTCATGCATTTTTCTGCACAAAGTATACACCTTCTTGTAATTCATCATGTACTTCACTAGTACCAAGATTTTGGTCATATGTTTATTTTTCTGAGATATAGCATCCTCAAGGTCGACTGATGGCTGTAAGTCCATCGATTAGGATTGCTCAAACATTCTTGTTGACTCATTCTCAGCTCAATGAAAGACCATTCATTTGATGCTTTGGTACCAAAACGCAGATCAGTCGCTTGGTCTATTCTACCCTTGATCATACCAGAACTTGTGACTCCAACTCAATAAAAGCATCTATCTTTTCAGTTCACCATACGAAGAGATCGTATGATGCTGTAAGACTTCACGACTCCACTTATACATGGTTAGATTTCTCAGGTCAAGCACTACAAAATTTAATAATTCTTATGTTACGCCGTGCAAAAAATACTAATGGACCTAAATTGATCCTTATGGGACCCTACTCTTCAAAACTAAGATAAAATAAATTGAATCGAACTTACAAATGATTACATTCATCTGTAATTAAACCAAATGGGTATTTAATTGCATTAGCTTTAATTATTTTTCCATAATATAAACGAAAATCACGTCCTATTTTTAATTCGTATATTAAATGTTCTTCTTTACTAGCATAATAAATTGAACCAGATGATGATAAAACAATACTACCGTCACTTAATGTTTCATTCATAATCGTTGGTTGACCAAATAATAAACCTGTATGTGTATCAAATATTGCGTAAATAATACCAACACCTGTTGATATAAATAGAAGAGATTTTTTAGTTCCAGCATGATCACGTTTTATTGTAAAACCGTTAACAAGTAAATCTGGTTGATCATTTTGAAATGTTATTGTTTTAATACATAGATTATCTTCAAAAGCTAATTTAGATCTATTAAAAAGTACTTGACATACACGTAAAGAGATTAAATTTGTATTCGAAGTTGTTTCATATATAAACCATAATTCATGATGAGAATTCGACAATAATGATGCACATGATGTTGCTATAACAAGATCTGTTGTACTTAAATTAACAATATGTTGAATTGTACGACCATTATAAACATGTATTTGATGTTTTGGTTCAATAAATATTAATAAATCATCAATAGATGAATAAGCAAGAAAAGTTTGAACATTAATACGTTTTACATATGATATATTTGATGATATTTGAGATGTTTGATATTTACCAAAAGAAAGCATTGATTGAAGCTATAGAATAATTACCATATCAAAATAGGTTAATTTAATAATGTAAATTGATGAATAGTTTTCAATATGGAAGAAATAATATGTTTTTGAGTAAAATTCATTTAATCTGATAAATGAGTTTGCAGAATTTTGCATTCTTTCCAAATATGAGTTCAAAATTTTGTAGGCCTTCTGGTTTAAGAATTATGAACTAATTTTTTTAGAGTTTCGTAAATTAAATTTGAACGAAATTTAACGCACTGAAACTTATTCTAAGCAGAATCAAAAATTATTTCAGAATACAACGAATGAAAGAACAAACATTTCTTTATAAAATGTTATATCAATGATTGGTTTGTTCCAAATGATTTGCTAACAGTGGATGGTTTGGTAAAGAATTCCTATGTCAATTCAGGCAATTATCTTGATTCCGAAGAAAAACTGATTTGTAAAGTGAGCTCGACCATTCCTGAATGATTGCTCTGAAACTGTTGATCCTTATGTCACACTATACAAAACAGCTTTATCTTTAATTCTATGCAGAAAAGATCGTCAATTTTTTATGTTCAAAATTAATTTTAACACCTCTAAAAGATCGATTGATAACTAGATTTGGGCGTGATCAGAAAAAAAAGATTGTTCGATAATAGGTCTCGTGTGGGATGTGAAAAACTAATTTTCTCTTCATATTCAGAATTTTTTCTTCTTCGAAAGTATGTCTAAAAATCGAGAATAGAGTGATCTATGATAGAGAGAAATATGCTGTACATTCTTCGTAATCAATCAATCATAGTTACGATCAACAAGTTGCTATTTTCTATTTCGTATATCCGTATATCTTCGAGGTTTTTATATCATTTTGAAAAGGAGAAAATTCTATGTACAAAAGACAACCTGAATTATTCTTTCATAAATGATCACGCTGAAATCTTTTCATAACTCATAAACCAAAAGTTCTACAAAAATGATGAACTTATATTCGGAAAGAACATAAAATTCTGATTCTAAGTCAAAGTTTTCAAATGGCTACTATTTAAGCGGTCAGTAAAATAAATTAAATGATCAGTAAAATAGATGAAATGGTCAGTAAGATAAATGGTCAGTAAAAAGTATATAAATGATCAGTAAAAAGATTGAATGGTCAGTACTTAGACTATCACTCATATAAAAAAAAGATTGGAAAAAATCTAATTTTAATCGATTTTTTAAATCAAACCAGTGATTAAAATAAATTAAATTTATAAATATTAATTTTAATGGCGGCGACGGTAAAATGCGTTTTCTCAAACTTTATGTTGAAAACTCAGATGTTCGATCGCTTTTTCGGACTCCTTGCCTCGGAAAATTAGTAAATATGATGCTAGATCGACCTTTGACATAAATTCCATGCTTCAAGACTCGATATCAATTGGTACTTATTCATTTAAAAAGAAAAACTATTAGAATTGATTAAAATCGATTTAAAAATTTTAATCGATTTTAATAGATTAAAAATCGAATAATCTGACTAAAATTGAGTAAAATAGTCAATGAAAAAATTTTAATCGGTTAAAATGGATATTTATAAATTTAATTTATTTTAATCACTAGTTTGATTAAAAACCTGGTTAAAACTGTCCCATTTTAATCGATTTTTAATCACAAAAAAATCGATTAAAATCAGATTTTTTCCAATCTTTTTTTTTATATGAGTGATAATCTAAGTACTGACCATTTAATCTTTTTACTGATCATTTATACATTTTTTACTGACCATTTATCTTACTGATCATTTCATATATTTTCCTGACCATTTCATTTATTTTACTGACCGCTTAATAATATCCCTTTTCAAATTTCTACAGACTTCTTTAAGAAACTGAAAAATGATTGAACATTTTCTCAAATTACTTTTCAATCACGCATTATTATCTATAGGGGCACATTTTTTAAATAGACTGATTAAAATTTAATATCAGATTGTCTTCAAATAAAAATAAATTCACACATATATAATATTATATTTTAAAAAATAAATAAGAAAATGATAGTTTAGATTTATATAAAAAATATTTCATCCAACGAAAATTTATCATGCCATCCAGTCATAGACAATGTAATTAGTCTTGTCTTATTTTTCAAATAATAAAATTTTTTATACACTCAAACATGCTATGAAATAGTTAGTAAATCATACTCAGAACATTTATTTCATAATAATACTAAATATGGACCAATCAGAAGAAGAAAACGCAATATTTTTGATGGCTTATACTTATTCGAGCTCATTTAGAAGTTTATATTGAAAGAAAAAAGAAATTTCTCTTTAATGTTATTAATGTGATTAATAACGGGTTACAAAGACCTATATACTGCATGATTTTCAAAAAAAAAAGCAGGAAACATGAAATAGTGATTATTTTATAGTTGTAATTAGTAACAGAACATCTGAGATATTAAGAG